TGCATTATTTATTTAATATTAAAGAAATTAAGTACTGCTAATTACAAATTATAAAAAATTAGCATTATTAATTGATTACTTGAATTTTATTTATTTATTTTTATTAAATATATTCTAGTCTAATCAACTCAAAATTTTTATTTATTCAATTATGAAAAATATTCCTAATTCGAAAAATGTAGTGAATATGTATTCACAGTTAAATTTTGATAGAATATTTTTTCATTATCACTATACTTACCCTAGTTAAGTCTATTTGTGATATCATACATAATATGCTTAACTCAATATAATAATAATATGGCATGTATCATGTGGTAAATATATTCCATACATTTGATTGGCTTCCATTAAAAGTAGACGTCTTATAAGTAAAATAGTATAATTGTTGAAGTTGTCCTGAAGAATGTGCTAGGTATAATGTTATCTAATGAAATTGATAAATTTAGAAATATTAATCAAATCCAAAACTATGTATTTATCTCATCAATCACACTAAAACAGTTATGTTAAATAAAGTAACATTACATTAAATTAAAGTAATAAAGTAAAAAAATTTGAAATTTAGTTTCTTCATTATTTATAGTAAAATCATATTATGCTATAAATAAAATTTAAATTTATGAATGAATTTAATAAAAATTAACTTTAATTTGTAAGTACATTTTTAATAAATTTGTTAAATTAAAACTCGTGTACAGACTTATTTCTTAATTTTTATATGCGCATGCATGGGTTTTAACTTTTTATTCTAAAATTTAACCTTTCATAATTGAAAAAAATAAATTAATTAAAACCTTGTCATAACAAAGAAATTAAATTTCAAATATTATCATTCTATTACTTTAATATAATGTCATTTTACTTAGCAACCTTGGGATTGAGTAACATAATCATTGAATAATGATTAATTTGGTACAACTCATATTTTTAGTGTAACATTTAAGAATTAAATTTTTTGGGAGGGTAAAAAATTTAGTTTAAAATTTATTTTGAGTGGTGTAAGCTCATGGCTAGCAATCATAATATTTGTTGAAATCCTGATTTCTTAGTTTTGATTTTATAGTATATTACTTCATGTTTCTTTGCAATTTTCATAAATAAATAATTTTTGTGAATGTATTTAGCTCAGGTGTTGATTCAAGTAGTAGAAGCTAGACTAATTATAAAGGTATTATTTTAATAAATAATTCTAGTCATTATTTTAAATTTTTGTGAATGAATTTAATTTGACTTCATGGTAATTTGAAACTTCTTAAAATTTAAAAAAGGAACAGTTTCATGTTAATAAACTTATGCATAGGTTTCAATTTATGCTATGAATTTTGCTTCAATCAAAAGTTAATTTTTCATGAATATCTTCAATTTATAACAAGAGTTTATAAATTAATTTGCAAAAGTTTAAATGCTAGCAAAAAATTATCATAATATACGTAATATTTTTTATAGCAAAAACCAATGATTAAATGAAATATGTGTTTTTATATTTTATAAACTCAAAAAATTAAAAACATTATCTACGTTTATGCATAATATTTTTTATTAGACTTATTTATTTTAATTATTTATTTACTTATGTTTTAATTTATTTGAAAGAGAAAAATATAATCCAAAATTTATTTTGATGATTTATTTAATTATATTTTAATTTATTTGAAAAAGAAAAATAGAATCCAAAATTTATTCTGATAATTTATGTAATTATGTTTTAATTTATTTGAAAGAGAAAAATAGAATTCAAGATTTATTTTGATGATTTATGTAATTATGTTTTAATTTATTTGAAAGAGAAAAATAGAATCCAAAATTTATTTTGATGATTTATGTAATTATGTTTTAATTTATTTGAAAGAGAAAAATAGAATCAAAATTTATTTTGTCCCATTATTTCTCACATAAACTTTTATCCTAAATATTGTTTGAATGTATTTAATATTTGCTTAAATCAGGAGTTCATTTCAACCCAAAAATAATGCCCAAACCAGAGGTTCAGACAGCCCAAAACAAAAGTTCAAACAACCCAGCACAGCAGCAGGCCAAAAGATTCAAATGGAAGATATTCAAATTAGTAATGATGAAGTGGAAGATATTCAAATGAATACAACGGGTATAAACGGCTATAAGTTTCATTATATATACCAAAACCTCTGATGTGAACAAGAGATATCAACTACAAACAAGTTACAAAAACTAGAAAATATTCTTTGATCTAAAATCACTCTCATCTATTTTCTGAAAAATTTTCTGAGAAGTGTTCTTCAATTTTTGTTTACATCCTCTCTCAGAAATTATACATTAAGTCGTATAGCTTTAAACCCACCTTTCCTGTGTGAGGATTACAGAAAAATCAAAGTCTTATTTTTATATATATCTTTGAGAGATAATTCTTGTAACTTTTTGTGAAAACAAAAACATTTTCTTTTCAATTCTGTAAGAGTGTAGAACTCTCAGTGTTTTTTTTTTTAACTTATAAAGTCTGTGTAAAATTCGTGGATGATTGCTTCATCTGTGAAAGAGTTGCTAGCACTCTACGAAGGTAGAGAATAGTGGAAAATCTCAAGTGAAGCTTGAGGAGTGGACGTAGGCCGAGTTGAAACCGAACTACTATAAATTTGTTTGCCTCTCTCTCCCTTATCTCTTTATTTTATTTAAATTGCCATAACTATATTTTATATTTTTATTGTGCTAAAATCATTAATTGACATAGTTGTTAGAACACTTGTTTTAATTATTTTTATTTCATTAACTATATTTATCTATTGTACTAGTCATAATTTTTATTAGAATATTATTATTTTTATTTGTAAAAACCTAATTCACCTCCCTCTTAAGTTGCCTTTTGGATAAGAATTTATTTCTAAAAAAATTAAAACTAAATATTTTTAATATAAAGAATTCAAAAAATATCATAATGTAGTATATCCATGTGTATACAAACATTACCACATTGATAATAAATCAGAAAAAATAAATGTGTTTTGAAATTAATAACAATTCAAAATTTGATTTATTTTCCAAAGAGTGGTGCTACACACCAATTATTATATTAACTAATATATCAACACATGCTATATTACAATTTTAAAACTATAGACCCCACTTATTATACAAACTATAAAAATTTAAAGTAAATAAAATTATGTCACATCATCTGTTAGTACATTAATTGCTATACCAATTGGTGCATATAACTTTATTTCTTTTGAAATTGAAGTGATTTGATAACTATTACCATATGAATAAAATAATTAATTATTAATTACATTTAAAATATAATAACCAATGATTGAATGACATTTGTATTTATGTATTTCATAAATTCAAAAAATTAAAACATTTGAGTTGAGAGTTTCAAGCTCAAAGGCCTAACAATGTGGTTGGGTCATTGGGAAGAAAAGGGAAAGCGAAAACTTGTCTTGAAATAAATGAAAACACATTTTTTATTTTAATTTTTTTGAAAATTTGAAATTAATTTTTTGAGAAAAACCTAACCCATTCAGGTATAGGGGTGATAAACGAATCGAGCGAGCCGAAAATTAGTTTGATAACTTTAATGGGTTTTAAAATTTATTTAAGTTTGGTTCATTACTTTCAAACCGATCTCAAATGTGCTTTTTTCAAGCCGATCTCGAATAATTTAATATTTTATATAATTTTAGACTTATTGAACAGAGTCGAACGAACAATTAGTTGTTCAAACTTGGTTTAACCTTAACAAGCTCTAAAATGTTTTAAATTTTTTAATTTTTGTAAGAGAAAAAATAAAATGATTAGAATTTGAATTTGATATTTTCTCTTATTTACTTTTTAGCCTTTTTTTTTTGTGTAACTATTTTAGTCCAAACCACTTATGCCAAACATAGCCTGAGTACATAAACTTCCATAATAGGGGAGAGATAAACTACCACAAAAAGTATCAAATTCCTCTCTATAGAAGTTGAACTTAAGATCTTACATCATAAAAAGTGTTACACAACTACCAGACCAAATGTCTTGGTTAAATCTCGATTAATTCTGTTTGTATATTTTTGTGAGTATATTATCATACTGTTTGTCTAATTTAGTGGGGGGGGGTAAATTAAACTATTATAAGAACAATAAAAAATATAATAAACCCCATAATATTAGCATAATTATTTTAATATCTCTTTTAATAAGATTAAAATGATAAAAACTAATGCAAAAAATGTGTAAATAGAAAAATAAACAAAGTGAAATATATAATTCAATGTATAAAAGATAATAATATAATTTTTCTGTCCATACACAACAAAATATTGGTAGAAAAATGTTGTGTGAAATCTTAAAAAAATAATTCAATATAATAAAAGTAAATTACGCTGACTTTCCTTAAAATTTAGAAAAAATATAGCAAGTCTCAAAATTTTGATATAATTACATTGACTTCATTTCTTAAAAAGTTAAAGTAACCAAAACTAATACAAATTATATAAAAATACAAATACATAAGATAAAAATATCTATTTCAATGTAAAAAAAGATGATAACATAATTTTTTTTATTCATACAACTGACGAATTTATAATGAAAATGAAGAAAAGTGTTATAAATTAAAACTTGAAGAAAATCTAATATAATTATGTCAAATTTGTGAGAGGTCAGTGTAATTTATCCATATAATTATGTCAACCTTGTAGGGATCAAATGTATTTTCTCCATATTTAAGGGGTTAGTGTAATTTACACAAAAATAAACTAGACAAGAGAAAGAAGAAGATTTTATTGGATGGAGCAAGGATACGAATGTTGACTATAGTCATTAGCTAATTTTCCATATGTAGTCCTACCCTGTACGCATCTCCACCTTGCCTTTTCTAATCACACCAATAAACACTCGCCACGTAACCCCTCACCCCTCGACATCGCGTCGCCACCGCGCGATCTTTGCACCGATCTCTCACTCCAATCATTTCGCGAGACGTGTCCCTCAAGCCACCGGCTATAGTCGGTCCAATAGGGTTAGCCACCGGTTCAGCCGGTGAACCTCCTCTGCAATTCCCTCTAGATATATAAAAGGCCGATCCAACTCTCTCTATTTTTCTCTTTCTCTCTCTCTCTGTGATTCGTCTCCGAAGAACGCGTCAAGAAAAATTTCTCTTCAGCTTCTAGTTCTAAGAGGTTCGTAGTAGTTGTTATCTTTTCTTTTTAATTGATTCAATTTTCTTGCTTATATATGAGTGTGTATAGTTACATATATACAGTACAATTGCTTTTGAACTATGAAACTCCCAACTTTTTTGAGTATTGAATTTCTATTTCATAATTCTTCGATCTTTGAAGTTAAGTTGTTGTTTAGTCTTCAATTGATGACGAGTATGTTGTAGATTTTCGTAATTACGCACTTGATTCGAACAGTTGTTGAGTTTGATCGCTTTCGAGATTCCCAATCTTGGTGATAAAGTTTGGAATTTGATTTGTTTAATTGAAGAATTGCATGGTATTTATTTGTTGATTGAGTCGTTTGTTAGCTATTACGACGCCTGAGTTTAGAGAAATTTTGCTTCTTCTGCTTTTTCTGAGTGTTAATGTATCCTAAAATTAGGGCTTTGTAGAGACAATTGGGGATTTATAGTTTTTGATAAATATACGCTGATTTAAGGTTTCTGGTTTGTTTTTATTCCCGATTTTGGCATTGCTTGAGTTGTGTTTTGATCTGGAGCTCTTCGTGTTTGGTTTTTAACTCATTAGTTTCTGTTTGCTATGCTTACCAGTTGATTTTAGATCCCTGCAAAATTTCCGACAGTTAAATGGATTAATACTTTTAAAAATGTTTAGTTCAGTGAAGAGCTTTTGAAATTTCTGTTTTATTGAGATAATTGGCTTACCTCTGGTAGTTGTAACTCTTTATCTGGTTTGAAGGGGTGAATTATTATATTGAACTGCGATGTTGAGGAATTTGAAGTGTAGTTGTAGGGGTCTTCTTGAGCTTAAATTGCTGTGTCCATTGAATAATTTTTTAATCCTTTTATTTTAATGTAATAGAGCTGCTAAGGGCTGACCTTGGAGAGCTATTTAGATTTTGGTCGCCAGGCTGCAGTGCCATCTATGACACCTTCCCGGGTGGCTGGAGGGTTAGTGCATTCTTCTTCTAGTTCTGGCATATTTTTCCAAGGAGATGGGCAGTCCCAGGCTGTGGGAAATTCTCACTTGAGTTCATCTTTTGGAAACTCATCAAATTCGATTCCAGGAGCTGGACGTTCAAATCTGGCGCCTGTTTCTGGAGATGCGAGTAATACAGTCTTGAACAGTGTGGCGAGCTCAGGGCCAAGTGTGGGGGCAAGTTCGTTGGTTACTGATGCGAACTCAGGGCTTTCAGGAGGTCCCCATCTCCAGAGAAGTGCCAGCTTTAATACAGAATCTTACATGCGCCTACCTGCATCACCCATGTCGTTTTCATCCAATAATATAAGCATTTCAGGCTCTTCAGTTATGGACGGCTCCTCTGTAGTGCAGCAGAGCTCCAATCAAGACCCAAGCTCCCAACAGGTGCCACAAAGTCAGCAGCAGCAAGGGGCTTCCAGTGCTACATCGTTGCCCACGTCAAGAATGGGCCAAGTTTCACTTCCCCCCGGCCCACGTGTCCCTGGCTCTTGCATACAGGATCCCAATAATATAGCCCAGCTGCAGAAAAAACCCCGATTGGATATCAAGCAGGAAGACATTATGCAACAGCAGGTTCTGCAACAACTACTGCAGCGACAGGAATCCATGCAATTACAAACCCACAATCCTCAGTTGCAAGCTTTAATTCAGCAGCAGAGAATGCGGCAACAGCAGCAACAGCAGCAACAGTTTCTGCAGTCTATACCACCAGTGCAGCGAGCCCACATACTGCAACAACAACAACAGCAGCAGCAGCAGCTGCAGTTGAGACAACAACTTCAACAACAGGGTATGCAACCTATGTCTTCCATAAAGCGGCCCAATGATAATGGTGTATGTTCTCGTCGGCTAATGCAATATTTATATCACCAGCGGCAACGACCCCCTGTGAGTTGATTTCTTGTTGACTACATCTAGCTTATTTATTCTTTCTCCACTTTGGATCTGTTCAGACATTTTCCTGTTTGTTTGGCTATAAACATACTCAATCTTTGTTCATTTAGATACATAATTTTGATTGAGCTCTATGTTTTGGCATGACTTTGTCATGGCACTATTTAATTTAACAGACCCATACTATTGCCTACTGGAGGAAGTTTGTCGCAGAGTACTACTCCCCGCGTGCAAAGAAAAGATGGTGCTTGTCATTATATGATAATGTTGGTCATCATTCACTAGGTGTTTTCCCCCAGGCAACCATGGTTAGTTTCTTTGTTTCAATATATGATTTGCATGCATAATAAATTAGGCTTTCAGTTGATAAGACTAAATGTATGCACATTTATGATTTGATTAATATTGTTATTCTTGTCATTATATAGTTAGTTTCTTTGGATCTATGCTTCACATTCTTGCTTTATAGAATTAGAACGGGATGAAAAAAATGGAGGAGAGCAATAGGAGTGTTGCTTAATTGTAGAATTCCTATTAAGTTGAAGGGAAATTTTTTTTTGGATTGCTATAAGACCTGCTTTGAAAATGAGTGTAACTAAAATGAGAATATTGAGATGGATGAGTAGTGTTAGAAGAAAAAATAAAATAAGAAATGAATACATTAGGATGAAGTTAGATGTAACACCAATCGAAAATAAAATGATGGAAAATCATTTAAGATGGTATGAACATGTGAATCATAGAGCAGATAATGTACTTGCAAGGAGAAGTGAATTAACTCACGTGGAGAGGTAAAAGAAATATGGGAAGCCCAAGGAGAATAAGTGATGAAGTTGATGAGAAATGACATGATTAACTTCAATGTAACTGAGGATATGACTTAGAATAAATTGAAGGAAATGGATCCATGCAGCCTGATCCCAAATAATTGTGATAAAGGCTTGTTGAGCCTAGTTGAGTATACCTACTTAGTAATTGTGGCTAAAAACAATATGGTTCAATGCTATTAATTAAATTTGCTAATTGCACATAAATAATACCTGTGCACGCACATGCCTATGCTTTGATTTTATGATGCATGTCATTGTGCAATTCTTCAGTGTTAGTCTTTATTTTTCTCTTCACATACCTAGGTTGGCATTTCTCACAAGCAAAATTTCTTAGGTGTTTGTCCTTTCGTGTTCAGGATGCTTGGCAGTGTGACATTTGTAATTCAAAATCTGGAAGAGGATTCGGTAAGTGAATCTTTTTTTTTTTGTTGGGGGTTGAATAGTATGTTTTGATGTTTTTCAAATCTCCTTTCGACTCTAGATTCCATATTGTTGTTTTTGTTAAAGGAAATCTGGACATAGATATTGAGTTGCTTGTGCTGCATTTCTAAAGTAAGATGTTTTGCTCATTTTGAATTTTAATAGTAGTAATTGTGAGCATAAGTAATAGTTAATATATGACCGTTACTTGCATTGAGACCTTGGAGTTACTCGGACCAACCTGAACAAGCCCGTATATGTTTTTGTTGTAGATACTCTTTACTCTCTCACCAAAAAAATTTTTTTTTGGACAGCAACAAAGAATTTTATTAAGCACAAGCAAGAAAAAAAGAGAGGGACGAGGAGTCCTCGTACAATGAAAGAAGTCAAAACAAAAAAAGGATTTAACGAGAAAATTCTGATCACTAAAAATGGCAAGCAGCAGCCCAATCCCTAGAAATCAAGAAAAATGTAACTTTAAAAGGAGGAGACAAAAGCCCAAAACAAAGCCAAATATCCGCCTTATCCCATAAAGATTCTGAATCTGACTCATTTCTATCAAAGATCCATGCATTTCTCTTCAGCCAAATAAACCAAAAGATATTTAAAACAATACAAGACAACAATGTTTTGGCTCTCTTATTGCCGCCAAACCCTTCAAACCTAACAAGAAGCATGTGTGTGCACTCTCTTGGAGCAACCCACTGATTATCACACAGACTAAATAGACACTGGCATAATAAAAGAGCCACTGGACAATGAAGAAATAAATGATCTGCCCATTCCAAATTCCTCTTGCACATCACGCACCATTGAGGACAAAGAAAGTGATTAGGCCTTCTCCTTTGGAAGAGATCATTAGTCATGACACCTCCTTTCATTTTATGATGAACAACTGCTTGCCAAATTTTCTTATGAAGAGGAAACACATATTTCAATTATGATTTGGTGATGTTGCCTAATTACTTGGTGTCTTAATAATCATGTTAAAATCTTTATAAAAGTTTATATTAGTATTTTCTTTGTTTGGTTGTATTGATTTTTTAGCAGCTCTTCACCTGGTTGTGCTTGGTTAAGGTTTCAGCCTTCAAGAACAATACCTTAATGATCTGGTTACTAAGTTAATTTCATACTTTAAACTACTTGCAATCATTACATGTTACGATCATTACATACCTGTACGTATATAAAAACCACTTAAATTAAGAGCTTTTCATTGATGTATCTCCCTTTTGTAATGATGAACCATTGTGTGCTTAGATTGTAAGATAATGTATTTGTGTGGGGTTGTTACACATCAGCTGAATGTGAGTCAGGTTTTCATATTAATCAAAAAGAGGTGCTTAGGCCTTAGGGCTTTGATTTAATGTCATTTTTTGTGGTATAACTAATTTTGTTTTGTAACTGAATTGTTATAACCTTTATTGATCATATTAAGTATATGAACCTAACTCATTTTACCTCCTTTTTTTGGCGGTGGATGTTGACAGAGGCAACTTTTGAAGTACTCCCTAGACTTAATGAAATCAAATTTGGAAGTGGTGTCATTGATGAGCTTCTATTCCTGGACTTGCCACGTGAATGTAGATTTCCTTCCGGAATAATGATGTTGGAGTATGGGAAAGCAGTTCAAGAGAGTGTGTATGAGCAACTTCGTGTTGTTCGTGAGGGTCAGCTTCGTGTTATATTCACCCCCGATTTAAAGGTTAACAAAATACTATGTGATGTGAAACTATTGTTGCCTTTTTATTCTATGTATAACCTGCTTGCACTTCCCTACCCCTCTCTTTTCAGATATTGTCTTGGGAATTTTGTGCACGCCGCCATGAAGAACTTCTTCCCCGTAGGTTGGTCGCACCACAGGTACAAATTTGCATTCAACCTCTTGCTTAAAATTTTGTTGCCCTTCAGGTTCAAACTAGTTGTGTATCTATCAGAACTTAGTTGTCTTGAAAGTTTCATTCTACTCGATTGTTCACTTTTTGAAGCTCTTTTTTCTTTTTTTTCTTTTCTTGTGCAAACCATAATTTAATTTAATTAAATTGATTCAATAATTGTAGTCAAATGATTTTTTAGCTAATTGACTAAATAACGGGATGTAATTTATTTATTTTTTACTTCAACTGATGAAACAAACTTTGCAGGTGAATCAACTGCTACAGGTTGCACAGAAATGCCAAAGCACAATTGCTGAAAGTGGACCTGATGGGATTTCTCAGCAGGATTTACAGACAAACAGCAATCTGTGAGTTAATTAGCAAAATGTCATGTAGTTTTTTTGTATGTTATTCGCCTCAGAATCTCTACTCCTATTTTTCAATCTTGTGTTCTGATGACTTGTGAACTGATAATTAGCAAAGCCTTTGAATTCTTCTAGGAGCTTTCATGTTATTATTTATTTTTCTGTGGTTTTATTGAAACTCTAGAAGTATGACATAATAAGTTCTGTCGCTAGCTTTAATTGTAAGTGTATTTTTACTACCAATGACACTAAACAGAAGTATTTTTTGGCTACATGGGAATGAATTATCAACTTTAAAATTAATACTAGTTCTTTATGCTGTAAAAGTCCAATTCTTCTTCTTCTTCAGAGTGCAAGGAAAATGAATAATTGGCTTTGTTAGGGATGAAATGTCATTTGATGGTTGTATTTTGAGTGATTGAAATGCTTCCTATATCAGGGTTGTGACAGCTGGACGTCAGCTGGCGAGGACATTGGAGTTGCAGTCACTAAATGATTTGGGATTTTCAAAAAGATATGTCCGGTGCTTGCAGGTAAGTTTCTGTTTCTCAACCTGCTTTTCAATCGGAAATTGGCCTCTTTTTAGTTTGGTTTTTAGGTTTTTTATTTTTGTCCACCCTGACTTGTACCAGATATCTGAGGTTGTCAATAGTATGAAGGATTTGATGGATTTCTGCCGAGACCACAAAGCTGGGCCAATTGGTAACTACTTTATTGCTGTTATGCTAGCTGGAAGATTTATATTTCTTAATGGTTTTTTTATATATTTTTTATTTTTTATTTATATGTTTTTTAGGTATCTATATTCTCATAGCTTCTTCTTCTTCTTCTTCTTCTTCTTCTTCTTCTTCTTCTGTGCACATGCATGTGTGCTGGCTCGTGTGTTGAAGTGTAGTTTATTATACTACAGTTCATTTGTTTTATCTTAGGCTCCATTTGAATTGCAGGGATGAAAGACCAAGAATAGGAATTTTAAATGTCATTCATGTATTTGGAGCAACTAGGAAATCTGTATGGAAAATGACAATTTTAAATATTGGTCCAAGGTTGTAATATTCCTGTTCTTGAAGAAAAGAGGAAAGATTTGTGGGAAATTAGGAATGATATTCTCAATTTATATAATGTCTGGGTTAAATTTCCATTTTACCCCTCAATTTTTTTTGGCATTCAAATATAATGGCCACAAAGCACACCCGATAGTTCTTTTGTGAACATAATACCCAATTACCTCATTTATGTTACCATCATTTTACTTGGATATCTGACATGAATACTCATTTGCAGAGGGCTTGAAAAATTATCCTCGCCATGCTACTGCTGCGAAGGTCCAGATGCAAAAGATGCATGATATGGAGCAACTAGCAACTATTCAGGGTCTGCCAACTGATCGAAACACTCTGAACAAGTTAATAGCATTGCATCCTGGACTAAACAGTCCGATGAGCAATAACAATCACACAATTGGCCGGGGAGCTTTAAGTGGCTCGGCACAAGCTGCTTTGGCGTTGACTAACTACCAGAACATCATGATGAGACAGAACTCGATGAATTCAAACTCTAATTCACTTCAACAGGAAGCCTCATCTTCCTTAAACAACTCTAACCAGAACCCGTCTTCACCATTTCAAGGGGCCACTTCTCTACTTCCAGGAACTATGCAGAATTTACCAGTTAGCGGCTTTTCAAATTCCCAACTCTCTCAGCAGCAACGGTCACTGAATGGTAATAATGGCTTACCGCAACAGAGCCATCCCCAGCCGCAGCACGTGATCCAGCAACTGCTTCATGATATGAACAGCAACAGTGGGTCTCTTTCAGGGCAGCATGGTAATGGAAATGTGACGAGGAATGGATTAGGGTTTGGAAGCAATGCCACCTCAGCAGCCACTGCAGTCTCAGGAAGTGCTATGGGTGGTCCTACACCGAGCAGAAGCAACAGTTTCAAAGCCGCTTCGAACAGCGACTCCTCTGCAGCCGGTGGCAACAACGGGTTCAACCAGAAACCTCCTGATTTGCCACAAAATCTTCATTTGTCAGAGGAAATGGTGCAGGATATAGCCCACGAGTTCACAGTAAATGGGCTTTTTAACAGTGTTCTCGATGATAATATGGGTTTTGACTGGAAGGCATGAGACACATGCATTGGCCGATAATCGACTTTCATTTGGTGAGTGCCTCGGAATATATCCTTCTTGTACAGGGTTTATCTGGATTAGCAAACATTTGTTTTTTTTTTTTAAATCTTTTTCTGTTTTTCCCTTTTACAATTTGATCTTTTTTAATTATGGAGTTTGTTGTGATGTCAAGCACTTGTACTCCGGTAGGTGTTCAGTTTTTCTCTCTTTTTCCGTTTCTTTTTTATTTTTTTTTCCTGTGGTGTTTTCGGCCGCCAAAGTCATGCAAGTGTAATCTAATGGATATAAAACTTACGAACATCTTCTGTTTCGCCGTAAGTATGGTATTTTACATCTTTCATTCCTTGGTGTTCAGATCTTATGATTCAGCTAATCAATTAAGCTGTAAACTCTGTTTATGTTTCTGTTTCTGTTTTGGGTAAGCTGTGTTTCGGGCACCGTTTATTGATTCTGCTGGAAGGTAAAACTGGAAGTAAACTTCCTGTGGTTCAACAGTTTCGAGAGTTTTTGAAATGCCAGCTTTTTGTCAGAGAAAAAGTAATATACCTTGGAGGTCGCTTTTGGTTTTCTTTGTTGTTTCATTTTTTGGGCAGTCAAATTAATGCTTGCTATTTGCAATTTTTGTTTTGGTCAACTAACAATTGACTGACAGATTAGGGAATTTGTTACAAATGAACAAATCAGGTGGCGCTATGTTTGGTTTAGTTTTTCAGAATTTGCTCTTTCTTTGTTCTTTTTTTTTTTTTCTTCTGAATTTCAACAAATAAATCTAACCAAAATAAAGATATTTTAAAAAACTTAAATATTATGTCCCTCTCAAAAAAATAGAACGAGAGATTAAAATAATGAATGTTTTAATTTCGCCTTCTTTTTTTCTCACCAAATAATGAGTGGTTTTACTAATTTTTTTTTTATTACATATAACATTTGCAATTTATGTTTTGATCAATTGACAATTGACTAACAGATAGGGGAATCTGGACGATTTGTTGCAGACAAACAAATTAGAGGGGAAGCTGGTTATATTTCTGAAATCATGAGGATGTTATTTAGTATTTTTTAGGGCAAATTACATATACACCCCTCCAGGTTTGACAAAATTACAGATACCCCCTGAGGTTTGAGAAATTACGAAACCACTTCGCTTCTTTTCACACACATATTGATTTTTTTTTATTATATTTTTATTTTAAAATAAAATTATCAAAATATCCCTTTCTTCTTCAATCAAAACACTAACCCTAATCCTAATACCCAACACAGTCCCTTTCCCTCCGGTCGTTAGGAATGGCAACGGGGCGGGGCGGGGCCGGGGATCACCCTCCTCGTCCTCGATCCCCGATGGCAGAACTTCCCCCCGTCCCCATCCCCGACGGGGAACCCACTACCGCCCCCACCCCCACCCCCTAACGGGGATCGGGTTTCCCCGGCCCCAAAAACTCCCCGAGCTTCAACACCAGAACAACAAATCACAGATTTAAATTTAAAAAAAAAATTACAAATCTAAATTTACAGATCTGAATTTACAAAAAAAATTACAGATCTAAATAATAATCACAGATCTAAATGAACAACGAGAGACAGATATAAAGTTACAAAAAAAAATTACAGATCTAAATAGTAATCACAGATTAGATCACACACACACACACACACAGAGACAGATCTAACAGAGAGACAGCGATGGTGGTGATGTTGCCGTCGGTGAGAGAGACCAGCGGTGGTGGTGATGTCGCCGTCGGCGAGAGAGAGGGGGGGTCGGGGCCAGCGGTGGTGGTGACGTCGCCGTCGGTGAGAGAGAGGGGGGTCGGGGCCAAAGAGAACAACGAGAGAGAGAGAGTTGAAATGAGAGAGTGAGAGATGAGAGTGAGAGAGAGAGAGATATCAGAGTTAGAGATAGAGAGTGAGTGTGAGAGATATATCAGAGTGAGTTAAACACAGATTTGGTTTATTAAATATACGGTTTGGTTTTGTTTATATATATATATATGTAAGGGGTATAAAAGTAATTTCAATTCGGGAAAATTCGGGGATAGGGCCGGGGATCAGGCCGGGCCGGGGCTTAAACACTGATCACCGTCCCCAGCCCGAAACAGATCGGGGATTGATTTTCAGATACCGTCTTCTCCCCGCTGGGGGTATTTTTCGGGAAAAAACCGCTTAAATCGGGGTCGGGATCAGGGATCGCCGTCGGGCCGGTTTCAAATTGCCATCCCTACCGGTCGTTCCCTTCCTTAACACAATCCCTCCCTCCGTCACCTCTCCCTTTAGTCCCCCCTCTTCTTGAATCAAAACCCCTCCCCATCTCGTCGCTCTTCACTCACTCACCCTCCCCACTACTCCTATAACCCCTTACTTCATGATGCAACACCACCGCCACCGCAACTCACCCCTTCACGACCCTCAATCCGTGGAGAGAGAGAGAAATAGGTAACGTGGATCCTAAATCTGAGAAGAAGACTCATTTTTTTATCATTCGAACTACCAATATAGAAAGAATCGCCTCCATTCGGAAATCAACCATCGAACCAATGAATTTGGTTCGACCATCAACATCTGAACAAAACACATTGGTTCGACCATCAACATCTGAAACCCCCGGTTTGGTTTTGTTTATATATATATATATATATATAAGGGGTATAAAAGTAATTTCAATTCGGGGAAATTCGGGGATAGGGCCGGGGATCAGGCCGGGCCGGGGCTTAAACACTGATCACCGTCCCCGGCCCGAAACAGATCGGGGATTGATTTTCAGATACCGTCTTCTCCCCGCTGGGGGTATTTTTCGGGGAAAAACCGCTTAAATCGGGGTCGGGATAGTGTCGCCGGTGGGTGAAGGAAGGGGTGGGTATGGCGACTGGAAGTGAAAGTGAGGTGATAACGGTGGTGCTGCGTCAACGCTGGTGAGGTGTGTGGATTGGGAGTGTTGGAAAGTTATGTGTATGAGGATATAACTGGAATAAAAGTGTGTGTAATGAGTAATTTTTTTTGTTTTATTTTATTTCATTTTTTTATTTTTAGGTGTGTGAACTAGGAAGGATGTGCAAATAGAAGCTCCCGGTTGCAAGACAGTTCAGTTTTTGCACGTTTGGTAAGACATTATTACCCCCAATAATAAAAAATAAAAATAAAGAAATGGGGGTCAATCAAATCATAGAGGTTAAACTTCTAGATGAGTAGCGCTCTAGGCAATGAGGGTGTTTGTTTCAGCTTTTTAAAGTCAACTTATGGCTTTTAGCTTTGAAAAAATCATTTTAGACTGTTTGGTTAAACTTATTTCAAATAGCTTATTTTAACTCAAAAAAATTGATTCTGAAAAGCTACTCACCCCTTGCTTCTGATTATTAACTTCTGCTGTGAACATATTAATTTATGGTTATACTCTCAAATTTTTTTATTTTTTATTTTTTTAAAAATAAAAAAAGACTCAAATAGACTATAGATTATTATTATTATTTTTTATGAAAAATGTAGACAAACAAAAAATAAAAATTAATTGAAAAAATTATTTCACAGCTTATTTAACAAACTCTACTCGGCAACTTAAATCTATAATCCAACAGTTACACCAAATAAATTAACAACTTCTGATTAAAATCATAATTTATAATTTGTTAAACTATAATCTATAAACTGTTTTAACAGCTACACCAAACGGGACCAATGTTCCCCAAAAAGAGAGTATTGAGTTCCACCCAACTGTTCAAATAAAAAGCTCATCATCAGAATCATCATCATCGTCAATTACCACTCTTCCACTCCCGAGTAATGTGTTCAGAATCATTCGCTCCCAATGCCTCACATTTGCAGCGGGCATCCGGAAACTAGAGGGTTCACTTGCCTACCCCTCAGGAGCTCTGGTTGGTGACTGGCAATGCTCAGCCCCATGATAGTACTTCAACGTGCATCTTCCCGAGGGACCATGAATATCGACATCAAATCCCGAGGAGAGTGGTCGTCCGACAACTTGAACATGTGAGATGCTGCAAAATCACAACATCAACAACATAACCAATAAATTGATCTAACTACTAATTCCGACAAGTTACATGGTATCAAAAAATATAATTCCGACAAGTTACATGGGATCAAAAAATACTAAAGTTTGACCTTTGTTTTGATTTATGCTTATTCTAAGGCGATTGGCATCGTCTAAAAAGAGTTTATTTGTCATCAGCTAAAAAAAGTAAAATGTCACATCAATTGTTTTACATACAAAAAAGGTAATGTTTTTAGCAATTTTCCAAATACATTAGCATTTTTAGCTTCTAAAAAAGTTAAAAAGTTGTTTAAAAAGCCAATCCCAAGCACCCTTTAACAACAATTCACAACCTTAGAGGAACTTGAAGTAAAAGTTGTCACCTATCAAATTGAGTAAACCTAAATGCACAGAAGATTTTGACAGATGAATCGAAGGGTGAGTCCCACATATGATGGACTCCACATGTGACCCATTGTCTCACACCTGTGTTTGTGAATCTTGTGCGTTCATAGCACAACTGAAACGCAATCACTAAACCCATATACCTGAGGGCCAAGACTTGATCCTTCTAAGTTTTGAGAGAGTGGAAGACGAGTGCATTGAGATTCCTAGATTCAAAGGGCAGAAAACGCAGGGGCGAAGCCTAGACACATATTCTTTCCTTTCCCTAGTCTAGATTATAGCTAACTACAAGAGAAGATATGTTAGTTAACAGTACATAAAATGCACAAAAAATTGAAGTTATGCACAACAATAAATTTCTAAAACTCATATAAGAGTAAGTCAACCTTACAGTGCTTTAATCATTCCGTTTTCAGTTTATATTTACAAAAATTTTAAAAACTGTCATAAAAACTTGTTTGATAATTTTTTTAATTTATAAATAATTGTCTCAGTTTATAAATTTGAGAAAAAAACGTAAACTCATTTTTGAGTTTACGTTTTCAATTTTTAATTTTTTTTTTCAAATAATTTTTTTTTCGTTATTTTTTTTCAATTAATTATTTTTTCAAATATTTTTTTTCTCAATTAAATTTTTTTTCAAATATTTTTTTAATTATTTTTTTTTTATTTTTTTTCAAATAATTTTTTCTCAAATAGTTTTTTTTCAATTAATTTGTTTTCCAATTAAATTTTTTTTCAATTATTTTTTAATTAATTTTTTTTCAATTATAATGTGTGTGATCTCATTGTCATAAATAATAAAAATAAATATAAATATTTTAAGCCTGAACAAACATATTTTTTAGTTTATGTTTTTAATTTTTTTTAAACATTTTATTCAAACCAAACGCGTTTGTAATTTATGATTTTTTAAAAATAAACAAAAACCAGTTTATAAAATTTTTATAAACATAAACCAAAAACGAAAACGTTACCAAACGCTACCAAAGAGATTAGGCTAACACAAGCTGATCGAACGGTCCATATATATATAATATAAAATAAAACAAATGGGTCAAATGAAAAACAATGAAAATCTGTGATCATGCCATTTGACCTTGTTTGTTCAAATTTTGATGAAAAAATTTGACAACAGGATGATCATGTTAGTGCCTAATATGACGGTATGGCACATGTCTAGATTTGTATGCTAGATCGAGCCCAAAAATAGGGCGCTCAGATGGTTATATGAGGTCAACCTCATGATAGTTTTTTCCTTCATATGAGAAACTAATTTGCAACCAATTGCTTTAACAGTCTTCAATTCTTCTTGGCAATAAGCCTACGAAGAATAAGGAGAACAAATAAAGATAATGAGTTCAAACAACTATCCTTCTTACTCTTACAGCAACCATAACGCAACAAAGACTCTAAAATAAATAAAATATATAAAAAAAAAAAAAAATTTAAGAAGGCGAAAGAAGTCAAATAAAACAATGATGTTAGAACCCAAGAAGTATAGTCCAAACCATTAACTTTTAATAGCCAAGTGTCATGGACCCATGTCTCTCGAAAGGGTTGCCACTTGCAGATAAGATCCCTGGGTTGGATAGTCTTTCAGGGGTTGACCCTTTTGAGAGGTCTGGACTTGTAGTAATATCAAAGCAAGTTGAAGTGCATCACAACCTTATCAACTGTGTGGAAACGATCTTGGTCATGCAGCCTTGTGCTGGGATGACCGTCTTGTGAGGTGCATGGGTCTGTGACACAAGGGTTTCATCTGAAGGGTATACAATTACTATACATCATACTTCGGTCTAACCTAAAAATTCTTCTTTAGACAAGCCTAAAGGTGTACCCTCACAGATCTGTTCATTCAGATCATAAATTTTATAGGTTCCTGGACTCTCTTCTTTAGATGTAGCTCCAATCGTATGGACACATTCAAACACTAAAATTTATCTAGCATGCTAATGCATCACAATTCAATCCATTAAAAGAAATCACGCTGAGTACCAATAAATAGTAGATGAAACTGCAAGGAACTAACCATATATAAAATAAACCATCCAATTCTTGTCTCTGTACTCTGCCCAAAAGCTCTACTTGCAGGATTCCACCAATGCAAAGAACAGGCTCTGGAAGCTTGAATTTTTGCAAGCAATTCTCCTAATATCCATGAAGAAATCATCTAAACATTTTAGATTTTGAGATAATTCAAAAATTCACCAAAAATGCTTGAAATATCAAAAAGGAGGCCTAATTAGGACCTCAGCTTGTTCCAAATATAGCATCTTGATGATGTAATTTAAGTTTGCTTCAGTTACTGTATCTTAAGCTTTCCATGTGATCTTTTCTATTCATTTAATTTGGCGTAGTTGCATAATGGTAGACATGTTTTGTAATTTTTCCTTACTTAAAACATATCCTGCAATGAATACGATACCACAAAAATTGATAAATATTCGAAGCTTCATAGTTTTTACTCAGCTTGACAAAAAACAAATAACGATAAATCTTTTTTGCCACGCCGACTAAAAAAATTCATACCTTTTCCTCGGCTAGATGTGTTGAGCAGAGAGGAGTTATGTTCATTTATCATTATCATTCCAAGTATTTACATACAGGTGTTATTGAAGAGCAAAGATTTGAAAGTAAAAAATGCACTAGATTTTTTCCCCTTCTTTTCGCCCATTTTTTTAGTGATTAATTTTGTTGACCCCAAGAGATTTACACACAACATTTCCTTCCTCCTACCATTGCCTTCCTACAAAGAAAAGAAAATGACTCCACCTCTCCCTCTTACCTGAGCCATTGGAAATTCTGGTGAGGTATATGTCCATTCGAATGCATAGTCAGGTGACTCACGACCAGCTTCAAACTCATCTCTGAAGTCACTTCCTATTTCCATTGAGGATCTGGGACGTCCCATTCGAAATCGCACAGCCCTTGCTGAATATATAGGAAATCCGAACTGAAAATATGCTGATAAGAAAACATACTTTTTTTGTGAGTAAATAAAATAAAATGAATCGGTGTACAAAACAAGTACAGCACGAGTGTAAATGGAGTTACGAAAATAACCTTGGAATGGTTGTACATGGATTTCAGTGATGACACACAACTTTGAAATCAACTTATAGTCTAATATCTCGGGAACTGTAGGATCACTTTCACCTTCGCTTGACCAGTATGAAGCTCTCTGTTCAACCCTATCACTTGGTTCCAGAGTATTTTGAATGCTTTCTTCAGGATAATTATCAGTGCTGGATGCAAAAATGGCCTCTGAAAGGCAATCTTTTCTCACGAAAGAGGTAAGACCACGAGCTAAAAAGGCATAGACCCTATGATCCCTCTTCAAGTATTCCCATTCCATAGACTTGTCAGGCTTGACTACTATGGGTTCTATCGTGTTTTCCACTTCAATAACATGGGCAAAACTTGATATTTCAGGAAACAGTCTTAGACAAAGCTGCTTCGAGAGGCTATTTTCAATCACTGCATGAGATTTTGAACCCAAATCAGAAACAATCAATAGAACAGATAAAAATAAAAAAATAAAAAAATAAACTTCTGTTGTATTCTCTCTTTTTATCAAATCAACAAAAATCAGTTATCTGGGTAGAAAATGGAAGAACTTGTTCTGTAACTAAAAAGTGAGGTAGTGTTTGATTTAGGAGAATGAAGACTGAAATGGAAAACCGATTCCCATGGTCGGTTTGTTGAAAAGATAAAAAATGCATTCCAAATAGAATCACCATTCCATTGGGAAGTCAAGTAATAGCCATTCCATTCCTACCCATAATCATTGTAGTGAAACACTACCTCAGTGATATTTCAGGAAACATTCTTTAAACAAAGTTGCTTCAAGAGGTTACTTGCAGTCAATGCTTGAGATTTAAATCCACATCAGAAACAATCAATAAAACAGATAAAATAACTTCTGTTATATTTTCTCTCTTTCTCAATCATCAAAAAATAGTTATCTAGGTAAAAGAGGGAAGAACTTGTTATGTAAAGTGAGGTAGTGTTTGGTTCACTGTAGAATGAAGGTTGGAATGGAATGCTCATTCCGTCAAAGCAACCATTCTGGAATGGAATGGAATGATCACTGTAGAATGGGCGGTGGTTTTGGTGGCCTGTGAAATGTACATTCCAAATAGAATCACCATTCAACAATTCAAGAGAATGACCATTCTATTGGGAAGCCAATTAATAGTTATTCCACTTCTGCAGAAAATCATGCTAATGGTGATTTGTAATAGGGCCACTTACTTTTATCACTAACAATACAAGAAGTTCAAAAAAAAATTTGTAGACCAAAAAAAATAAGGCATAGGACAGAAGCCAATCCATTCAAAGGAACAGCACCCAAGTAAATTATGAAAAAAAAAAAAACCATCCAATTGAGTAATTGTTCACATGACCAAAGTAATCTTATAAACCAGGATTCATAAGTGTCCTAAAACCTAGATTTTGAAATGGAACACACAATTGTATGGATTGGAAACATTTTTGACATTAGAATTCATACAACAATGCATGAAGCCCAAAGAAAACTATGACATATGGGGAAAATATATATAGCGAAATCAAAGCTTTAGCTTAATGAAAATTGAAGCAAAGCCCTATAATTTGCAGATGTGAGCTCACCAAACCGGCGCCAAGAACTTGAAACTGAACAGACACGGATGAGATCTGACGGGTCCTTTAAACACATGAGAATATTCATAGACGTGTCAGGTCCAAGCCACTGTAGGAAATCTCCACAACCCTCCATTTCAAGCTAAACTATTGTAATTATACCAAATAAATTGTTGATGATCCAAGACTTCTACGTCCTTAAAAAACAAAAACAAAAAATATATATAAATAAATAAACTATTAATACTGCAAAAGCACAATAAAATGAATATTAAACGGGAAATGCTAATGACAATGAGTAGCAATTGATGTGTGTAAAAAAATATGTAGAAATGGCTAAAAATATTTTGAAAATATCTGAAAAATACAATGAAATTCTAACTCTTCTGGTATTATTTCCACATTTTAGCATAACCCATATTAAATTAAGCATCTAAAGAAAATGACAAACATAAAATTTCAAAAAGATTAAAATAAAATAAAATAAAAAAACACCAAATAACATTGCAAAAGCACAATATAATGAATATAAGTAAATCAAACATTTAAAGAAAATTACATATAAAATTCCAAAAAAATGAAAGGAAAAAAAAAAAACCAAGCGAGCATCTCCAATGTATTGCTATAACAGCTGCTAAAGTCATAATATGGCAGCTTGAGCAAAAATTGCTTCTCCAATGGCATGCTATAGTAGCTGCCAAATCAAGTGCCAAACTTGACAACTACTTTGGCAGCTGCCAAATCTGCCAAGTCACCAAAAATGAAACTGTTTTCTTTCTTCCCTCCTTCCCTCCTTCCCTTTCAGTTGGGATTTTCCAGAATGCATGAAGTTTTATATAAAAATATTGAACAAGAATGAACAAAACAGATTTCTCAAATAATAATTCATCAAAAAATGAACAAAACAGATTTCTCAAATAATTCATCAAAAATTGAACAAGAATGAACAAAACAGATTTCTCAAATAATAATTCATCAAAAAATGAACAAAACAGATTTCTCAAATAATTCATCAAAAATTGAACAAGAATGAACAAAACAGATTTCTCAAATAATATTGAACAAGAATGAACAAATCAGATTTCTCAAATATTGAACAAGAATGAACAAAACTGTTTTCTTTCTCAGATTTTTCAAAATATTGAACAAGAATGAACAAAAATACCTGGATTTGATGGGGGGCTAATAATCTGAAATTAATTTCTCAAGAATGAACAAGAATAATCCATTAATTTCTGAAATAATCTTGAACAAGAATGAACTAATATTGAAGAAGAATGAACATAAATAATCTGAAATTAATTTCTCAAATAATCCATTAATTTCTCAAATAATCCATTAAAATCTGAAATAATCCAAAGAAAAATACCTGGATTTGATGTCGATCTGAAGAGGGTTGAAGAGAGAAAACAGTTTACCCGAAGCTGCAGTTGATCCGATCTGATCCGAAGCCAAAATTTATCCGAAGCTCTGATCTTCACCCAGATCTTCACTCTGATCCGAAGCTCTGACTCTCTCTCCGAAGCTCTCTCTCTCTGTCTCTGAAGTTTCCTCTCTGTTCTAGATGAAAATCTGTCTTGATCAAAACATAAATGTTTATTTTTGGTGTAATAAAGAGCCGCTGGGCTCGTTTGGTTTGTTTAACATTAAAAAAAAAAAAATTGAAATTATTTTTTACAAATAATGTAATTAAATAATATTTACGTATAAAAATTAAATAATGTAATTAAATAATGTTTATTTTTTAAATAATGTAATTAAAAAATTGAAATTATTAAATTATTTCTTATTCTGATATCGTATAAAAATTACGTAATTAAATAACGTTTCGATTTTTTTTAAACAGATGATTCAAACAAAACTGTTGGGAATAATATTTTTTTTTTAAACAGATGCTTCAATTTCTTATTCGGTCGAATGTTTCAATTGAAATTATTTTTTAAAACATATGTTTCAATTTTTTTTTTCCAATTTTTCATTTTTTTTAATTTTTTATATTTGTCTAGTGGTGAATAATATAAATATATAATTTTTTTAATAAACAGGTAAAAAATGTCACAAAAAACAAAAAAATAAACAAAAATAAAATCACAAAAAACTTATATCCAAACAACACTTACAAAGTTTGAGGGAAAGTTGGTTGAGATTTGTCAAAAATAAAAAAATGACCATTGGAGCACCATTGCAATAATTTGACAAAATAACACTATTCATTGCCAAATTATAGCAATAACAACCTCAATATAACAACAACCATTGGAGATGCTCTACATCCTTAAAATTTAACAATTGTATTAAAAACATTCTCATCTATGTTGTATAGTGTATACACAAGAAAAATATGAGATCTAACTAATCGTTTAATCATATGAATTAATACCAATCATCTTATAAACAATTAAATACAAAAAAATTACATTTTTTCCCCTAATTGAAAAAACAAATCAGCATGGCAACCAAAACCCAGATATAGATGGATAGATCTTGTTAGGATCAAAGACAACCAGAGAATTATCTTACACACACAGAGAACACAATATTTACGTGGTTCGGCCCAATGCCTACATCCACAGACAGAAATGAGAATTATCACTAAAATGGAACAAAAATACAATTACAGAGGAGGAGATGAAACTCACTCAACTCACAGCTCTCACTCTCCAATTTCTGATGATTCAAACCCCTCCTCACTCATCTCAATTTATAACCAAGAGAGGAAGAGTAGGTGAAGTGCTAGCCATAATTGGCCAAGGTGGTGCCACCCCCACTATCCTCCATTAGTGAGTTAGTGTTGCCCTCCACCACCTTCTTTTACCACCTGGTGCCACCCACACTATGTGGATGGTGGGCTCCTTACCATGTGGGTAGTGGATGGAGCCAACAATTCTCCCCCTCCACGCCCACATGGACAACTGACTTCTCAGCTTGGACTGCCAAGACACAGCTCCCCCTGATTGGATGCCCTGTACCCCCTGCTCGGGATACCCTTGCATTACCGTGCAACTCCTTGCATGATGAACACGGGAGCAACTAGAAAACTTCAGAGTGTGACACATCAACATCCTCAATTTTCCTTGCTCGGAGCTTATTTCTGAACAACCAGCCTTTGCTTTCTGCACTTTAGAACAACTTCCCAGCGATCTCATACGCCCGTTGTCTGTGCTGCAATCCCTGATGTTCGGTTCAGTCTCACTTGTACGTCCGTACTGATGTTTGACAGTTAGCCCTTCTGCCAAGACAACTTCCATCGGTCTGTACAAGTTATCACTATGCAACTCCGTGCATAGTGCTCGCACCCATGGCTTCTAGTCTCCCTGCGTCAAGCTTGCTTGAGAGATCTGCATCAACTCTATCATCTGCTGCCATGGAACTAAAGAAACCACCATAGAGAAATAAGACTTGCCACTCCTTGGCACGCACTCTTGCGTTTTACCTGTCTCAATTTCTCTGTCTGGAAGTTCCTGTGAACTGTCAACAACCCGCTGCTGCACACTCTTCTCGCGCCTCTGTACGACACTCTAGCGTACCCTTGCACTGTTGCACGTCTGCAATTGTACTTCTGCGCTTAGTATGCTCCTCTACAACTATTGTTCTACATGTCCACATACCATTGTGTGTCTTGGTACCCATTCATTCTGCAGTTATAGAAGGCCGACATGTTAGACTGGACTCAGAGAGCCACCACCTGATGACCTTCAGCTCTTGCTGTGTTTTGAAATCCCATTGACTTGGCTATAAACCCATCTCCAATTGCAGCTGTGCAATAATTAATCCCAATCAATATTCATCAATCAAAAAACACACTACTATATATCTCTTATTACGTGATCCTCTTGATCACAGTAAAAACACCTCCTCGTGTTGTCCTGTCTGGACTGTGAACGCCCTCTGCTTTTACTTCTTCCTCTACCTCTGCCCCTTTCTCTATCTCTGCCTCTACTTTCTGTGACAAGGGCATGGGACTGCTCTCCTTCCATCTCTTTCTTCCTTGCCTCCTCGTTGAATAAGGCGTCTGTGACCATTCCCATGGTCAGCTTCCCTTCGGGTGCAGAATTACTGAGAGAAACCACCAACGTCTCCCAGCTGTCTGGTAAGGAACTGAGTAATAATAATGCTTGCTTCTCATCCTCCAACTCCATTTTGATTGATGCAAGCTGGTTCACAAGGCTGTGGAATTCACTGGTGTGTTCAGCAACAGACACACCATTCTTCAGCTTCAGGTTTATAAGCTTTCTCATTATCAAGGCTTTGTTCCGTGCGGTCTTGGACTGGTACATGCCCTCCAATTTCATCCATAGGGCATAGGCGTCTGTCTCTTGGGCAACATGGTGGAACACACTGTGGTCAATCCACTGTCTGATTTGACCGACAGTCTTCTGGTTGGTTTTTATCCAGTCCCCATCCTTGTCTTCATCTGGTTTGACCCCCTTTAGCGCTATAGGGTCAAACAAATCTCTACAATACAGGACGTCCTCCATCCGCGGCTTCCATATCGCATAATTAGAAGCGTTCAACCGAATCATCGGCCCTGAAGCTGATGTGGATTCCTCCATCATCCAGAAAGTAATCTCTGTTTGAAAAACAGGCTTTGCTGTGAAGTCCGGACTGCTCAAATTAGCCGGAAAAGCACTTCGGATTGCCAAAATAAAAACTGCAAATTTTGAAAGCTTTTTTGCAAAATCTGACCGTACGAATGCGTCCGAAATATTCCAAATAGTTGGAAAGCACTATTGGATCACCCAAATCGGACCTCAAATGGCTTAGATGAAGCCAAAACAATTTAAACGGTTCAGATCGGCAGAATCTGGTGCGCCTGCAAAGCACCAGATTACTCCTCCGGTTCTGCTGACGTCAGGCTAACGTCATCGGCTCAGTCAGCAGCTTCGCTCGGTCAGCGGCTGAAGACTCGGCTCGGCTGAAGACGTCGGCTGGCGCGCGCGCGTGCGGCGCGTGTTGCGCGTGAAATCACGCATCGTCTTCCTCTGTCCGTGCGTGGGGCGCGTGGGTGAGAATGGGATCACGCGCCGGATGCCTGAACGGCGCGTGGAGGCGCGTGTCGAGACTGGGATTCACGCGCCAAATTCCGGGGGCGCGTGAGGGCGCGTCCGGCCTCCGTTGGATGTTTACTTTATATTTTTGGACTCCTCTCGTCGAGCCCTTGCTCCTAGTATGCTCAAAAACTGATTTCGAGCAATACGATTTCTGGGCAGTTTCGAACAACACGCTGTTTTTGTTCCGAAACGCCACCAACGAGGCTCTGATACCACTTGTTAGGATCAAAGACACCCAGAGAATTATCTCACACACACAGAGAACACAATATTTACGTGGTTCGGCCCAATGCCTACATCCACGGACAGAAATGAGAATTATCACTAAAATGGAGCAAAAATACAAATACAGAGGAGGAGATGAAACTCACTCAACTCACAGCTCTCACACTCAATTTCTGATCTCTCTTGGTTCTCACTCTCTCTCTGTGTCCATTTCAACTCTCCCAGAGGAGGAGTAGGTGAAGTGCTAGCCATAATTGGCCAAGGTGGTGCCACCCCCACTATCTTCCATTAGTGAGTTAGTGTTGCCCTCCACTACCTTCTTTTACCACCTGGTGCCACCCACACTATGTGGATGGTGGGCTCCTTACCATGTGGGTAGTGGATGGAGCCAACAGATCTAACGCAATACCTGAAGACAGCAGAGATGATAACGAGGAGAAAGACAGTGAAGCAATTCCAAATTCTGAGTAGAAATTAGATCTGAAAGTTGTTTGATTTTTTGGTTTTGGGTTTTGCAGATTAAATTTGTTTAATACATTTGTGAGTATTATTGATTGAAAAGAAGAGGATAATTGTATTCATTTGTTTGATTGCGTACACTCCAATTCAATTACTCTTCAAAGAGACAAAAAAAATGACCCCTGAAGAAAGTGAAAGAAAAGAAGCAAAGAAATTCCAAGAACAAGTTTTTATTGGTTTTGTCTGGATGGTGAGTTTCCATCGTGTTGTGTTCATGCGGAGCATACACGTGTCCTCTCTTATTGAGTAAAGCTTATCAATAATAATAATGGTGGGTGGTCCCTCCATAATGAGTTGGGTTTTGTTTTCATATTGGACTTTGCTACTGCGAGTCGACCCAAGTGAGATGGCAGCGTACCATTCGTCCAAATTATAAAAAAAAATAATAATAATAATTTTTTTTTTAACTAATAGAAAGCCTTCGTACATGACCCACATGACCTGGGGTCTTAGGCATTTTTGTTTCATATTTTTATTTTGGATAAATTATGTTTTGTCCGTTTGACTCTTTTATTTTTTATTATTATTTTTAACCTTTTTTTCTTACTTTACCATTTTATGTTTTAAATTTTTCTTAATTTACTTTAAAAACTAATTTGTATATAAAATTAGATAGAAAATGATATATTAACAAAAAAATATTTTATTATGTATATAACTCACATATATTTTACATTAATTCTAACTTCAATATAATAATATATTTTAAATGTTATGTAATGATTAATGTGATATTTTTTTTGTTTAATTTTAAAAGTAAATTGAAAAAAATTTAAA